GTGGATCTGCCTCTTCCGAGGGAATGGGGGCTTGCACCGACGAGCTACTATCTCAACCCTTTCATTCCCATCATTGGGATTCCTTGATTGCTGTGTGTGTATATATAAGTGGAGTGTAATGGATCTGTTTGTGTGTGTGTGTGGTTGGTTGTGTTGAGGTTTAAGAAGTGATTAGGGGTGGAGTTTTATGTTGTGAGTAAGTGGTTTGAGGTAAAGTGTGTGTATATGTGGTGTTTGGTGTTACCATATATGGGTTAGAGGAAGAATAAGCCATAAAAAAAAGGGGTTAAAAAGAGTGTGGAAGTTGTTTGGTTTGTGGGGTAGTAGTTGGTGGAGAAGCTATAGTGTGTTTAATGTATGTATGCAATATATATATGTAGCACTATACCTATTTTTATGTGTATAAGGAGGATCTTGTCTACTTTTTGGGTTTCTTTGTTCATTTGTGCATGTTTGATGGGGGTACTATAATTTCTCACCCATAATCGAGAATGAGTCGTAGCTATCTCAATTGTTTTCCTTTAAAAATTCTCATATCGAGTTACAACGATTGAAACCGAAAGATCGTTTTGGGTATATGAATGTCTCATAATTAAAGATATTTTAGAGGCAAAATTTTCCCGACCAAACGTCTTCATGAGCTCTCCATAAAAAAAAACCCCGCTACGTACCCAAGTTCATGGAAATTGACTGGACTTTCTCGCATCTTCAATTGTAGGGCTGGAAATTCGGATAGAGGCAATTTGATCGAGAATCACAAATTCAACAAATAGAACAGTCTCGATTGTTGGTTTAGCTAATCTTTCAGGGTTGGGTTAAGTGTAATCACAGACCGAACCGAATGAAGAAATAGTAACCACATATCCAACCAAATCTGGCCCTAGCCCACCATGCCCTTCCAACTCCAAGGTCCAACCAGATTACGGACCAAACACAATGGGTTATTAGATTCAAATGCATGTAACCGCATTACAAACCGAAAATCGAAACATTCGGGTAACCAAAAAACAGTATTGATGATGGTTACGGTTGCTGAAATGAGACCAATTCAAATTCATACATCGACTAATTCAGCTGGGTTAATCGAAACCTAACCGATTTTCATCCCTATTCTATAATGCATGCCAAATCAATGAGACTAGATGGGAACTACTTGCATACATAGATCGAGAGACTACTTCATCACAATGTAGTCAAAATCGCCCTTTAAAACTTATGATTTTACGTTTCTAGGTCATTAAAACGCTTATACACAAAGTCTCAGTTTTTACAACTTATGTAGTTAAAAACTCCGCTTTAAAACTTAAAAACTTACGATTTTATACTTCTAAATCACCAAAATATTTCTATGTAGAACTCGCATTTAACTGCATTGCTTCACCAAGACTTCCATTATTTCTATATTTTTCACCAAGACTTCCATTATTTCTATATTTTTTTTTTTCTTGAGGACCAAGGAAAGGAGCATAGAGTTTGGAGAAGAGTCAATTGTGGAAGTCAAGGAAACCCTCAACGTAACTCAAATGGGAAGACGACTCATGTGAACGCGGCATGAAGAGGTAAAAAAAAACACATGATTGGTTGACAAGTATGAATGTGTTGCCTTTGGATGGTGCAAACGTAACATCCAACAAAGAATGCGTTGTTTTGGATCTTTGCGAAGGGAAACGAACAAAGATGCCTAACTTCTGTTTGCAGAAAGTAGCTAGAACGGAATAGATTTTGTGTGTGTGGGGCAAATTATAAAAAGACCCATCGAGGTTAATTAACAGTTTGCTTGCCCTTATTATCATGTGTTCCCGAGTTATAGATAGAAAATGTAACACGATAAGACCTGGTCTCTTGATCAAGACACCAACCACTATTTAGGGTATTGAAAAGGAATAGGTCATTGTAAGTTGTAACATAAATGGAACAGGTCATTGATTATTACGTTACAAAGGTTGGAAATTTGGCAATGGCAATGGCAATGGTATTCTTAATCATGGTAAGTAATTAAGTTGATCGTGCATATTCAAATTTTGGATATATTGTACATATCATTGTTATATTTTGTACATGATGATGTGTAATTTGTAAAGCGAATGTGGGCAGAGGAGGTGACGTGGAATCTAAACTCATCTCATATAGGAATGTGCGTCCAATGAGTTTGATAGTGGGATTTGGGTGTTAGGCCCACCCATAACTTAATTAGTGATCAGAAGTGGCAATTAAGATCCAAATTCATGAATTCAATCCAATTCATTCACCAAATTATTTACCTAATCCAATCCATTTAAATTCAATCCATTTGATTCAAATCCAATTGGATTGGTGGATTCATGGATCAATCCATGGATCCAAATGGCAAATTACGATTTGGTACCTATATTTTTATATTTTACATTTTGGTACCTAAAATTTATATTTTTATACGAAACATATCATTGGAAAATTACATTTTGGTACCTAAAATTTTTCATTATGATAATTTAGTACCAAAACTTTTCAAATTTTACATTTTGGTCCAAGCTTTGGATGTCATTTGGATTCATTGATCAATCCACCAATCCATTTGATCCAATCCATGAATCCACCAATCCATTGGATCCAATCCATTTGATCCATGAATCCACCAATCCAATCCATGAATCCACGAATCCGATCCAATTGCCACCTTTATTAGTGATGATCAGTTGTAAGACATTACCTCGGGCTCAATGTATACTTAAGTGGTGTTGTTTGTAATTTATCCTTTGTTTTTATTGTAAGGTTTTTCTAGCAAACATAATATATATGGGTCAGACTGATATACTCCTGAGACATACTATTTTTCAGACTATACTTCAGGTACACCTAGTGAATTATCCTTATCTAGACCATGAATTAACTCGAGTTTTTTGTATGATACTATACCATAACATCTCATGTTCTGATTCTCTAAAATCAAACTCAAAGTTCAATTTAACAGAATATAATAATTGACCATTGAGATTGGTTGGAGCTCATCAAAGTAAATCTAATAGTCAGATCACCTGAAGTATACATTATACTCCTGAAGGGGATGAGATAGCATGACTATCCCTATAGGGGTTGGAGAAATGACACTCCCTATTAATTATAGGCTTTTAAGGTAATTGATTTGTGTTGCATTTAATAATCTATCTGAATTAAAAACTCATATTAATTACTTTCCTTTTTTCAGTGCAATGGTAGTTAAAAAAAAAAATGTAATTCCCTTAAACGAAAGTCTATCTTTTTCGGGATTTTCTTATACGGTTTGCACAAGTTGAACGTTTGAAAGTCTATCTTTTTTCGGGGTTTTCTTATACGGTTTGCACATGTTGAACGTATCATTCCATGTGATGCCAAACCCATTCGGCTTTCAGTTCGTACAAGTTGGACATACCATTCATCCTTGTACTAAACCATTGTTTTTTAAATTGGGGGTCGTCATGAGGATTCAAAACCGTGACATTTCGGTTCTATACTCTGATACCATGTTAGCGAACTAACTACTTGGCCCCAAAACTCGAATTGTTGGAAAAGAATAATTAAGCCTTTTAACCTCTCATACCCATAGCTATCGTCATGATTGAGTGGTGGTAAGAAAATGCATCAAGAATCAGCTTGCGGCAAAACCATCGTCATCGCTTGTTCTCTCTCTCTCTCTCTTTCTCTCTCTCCCCTTGGGTTTTGGTTGGTTGGTCGTCAACGAGGAAGAAGTAAACTGACGACAAAATGTCTTTCTTTCTGCATAGGAATACTCCACGTACAAGACTCCCGTGTCCATATCCAGATTAAGTTGAGACTTGGGAGACTATATACACAGCCAATTAACCAAGTCTCGCACTCGTACAGTTTATTATCGTGGATCATTTGCCGCGTTAAGTAATGAATGATACTTTGTGGGTTGGTTGGAGCTTAGGGAAGATTAAGACAACTTAATTCATTTAATTAGCTAGAAAGAACCAGAAATTCTTATTACTGGGCCGGGAGAGATGAATGAATTGGATGGCTTAAAACCTACCTTGTGGAATAAGCTGAACGTACGGTGCCTACACATTTCCCGTCAGCAAGTGCGTCATTTGATTTCTTCTTCCGTACTTGCGTTTGCATTTTCGCTACCTACCTGCCCTGCCTGCCTGCCTGCCTGCTGTTTTGCGACAACAAATACAATGCCAGAATGAGCTTATGGATGGGCTTATGTACTCGTGAAATATAATACACCAAATACGAGATATTTAGATATCTGGACTATGAATGAGATTGAGTTTGATCGTATGATATTATACTCTAATTTTCAATAGATAAATCTTTTGATTTTGGTTCTCTAAACCGAAAACAAAAAATTAATTTAATAAAAATAGCAATTGACAATTTTGAATTGTCAAACTATGACGAGTACATCCAACATTCATATCACTCAAATATGATTATATTCCAAAAGTAAAGTTACCCTCAGTTTATATATAGCTATTGTTTATGTAATAAAAAAAATTAACTTTATCATTCATTCATTCTGTACTCTCGTCCAACAGGTTTTTAGTGAAGAAAGAGACATCGTAAAATGTCCACAAGCTAACCCTCGTGCATTGACAAATATGCAAACTTTTTGCTCTTCTTAATTTTATCTTTATGAGTCCAGCTGGCCCCACCACTGATATGGGCAACTGCTAGCCCAGCCCAGCCCGTACGGCCCACCCAGCCCACTAGTACCCAAATACCGTTTCGAAATCTAACGGTAAAACACAACAGAAGGAGAAAAAAATCAACGACGCAAAATAACGGTCTCACGAGGGTACAGCAGAATTACCTGGAGAAGCAACACAGGTAAGCCGAGACCGAGACACCGGCCGAAACAAGACGCGTTCAAAACGACCGCTCATTGGCGAGGCCAGAGGACAAAACGGTAAATTTCCCCCTCCATCGGAAACAACCGCGTGGAAGTTTCCACATAACCCCAAAATGCGCCATTTTTTTCCAGCTTCACTCGGCTTTCTTTTCTCCCGCCATTTTCATAACACCCTATAAAAATACCAACAAAAAGCCACCCTCCACCTCATAAAAAAGAAGAAGAAGAAACGCACACAGACCAAGCAGATCGAGCAGCAATGGAGGAGCTGCCGCCTGGCTTCCGCTTCTACCCAACCGAGGAAGAACTCGTCTCCTTCTACCTCCACCACCAGCTCCAAGGAACCAGGCAGGACCTCCACCACGTCATCCCCGTCGTCGACATTTACGAGCTCGAACCTTGCCACCTTCCAAGTAAGTACATAGATGACAAACTAATAACCTCTTATATCAGCAGGTTCATGTACGATACTTAACCACTTTCTTTTTTTCTTACGTTGTATTATTTTTTGTCTCCTTCTTGCAGGCGTAGCGGGAGAGATGTGCCGAGGGGACACGGAGCAGTGGTTCTTCTTCGCGCCGAGGCAGGAGCGGGAAGCACGAGGAGGGAGGCCGAACCGGACCGCCGGGTCGGGTTACTGGAAGGCGACCGGGTCTCCGAGCTACGTCTACAACGCCAGCGGGAGAGTGATCGGGGTGAAGAGGACGATGGTTTTCTACACGGGGAAAGCTCCCGCTGGAAGGAAAACCAAGTGGAAGATGAACGAGTACAGAGCCATATTACAAGGAGCAAGGCACGACGACTCGGCGGCGTCATCATCGTCCAGCCAGCCGCCCGTTCCCAAGGTTAGTTCCGTCTCGTAAACCAGTCTCAATAACTCGAGTTGCTGGAAAAGTTCTATGTACGCGTATATGTTTCCTCTAAAGAAAGGAAACTAGTAAGTTTGATATTCTGTGTTTTAAAAGCGCCGTTAATATTGAGAATCAGGGACGGAGCTAGGATTTGCGAGTCGGGGGGCCGACATTTTTTTTTTTTTTTTGCGTATATCATCAGAAATCAGGAAATTTAAAAAAATTATAATAAAAGGATGCCAAAAATATATTTGAGATCATTAAAACCTAAAAATATGATATAAACTAAAAACTTTAGTACAATATGTTAATCATTGTTATTACAATTTACAACTTAATGTTGAACGAATACTAGAGATTCAGAAAATTTAATCTATATATGTTCAAAATTATTCTTAAAATATGAATTAAAAGCTCCAAATATGAATTTATCTATTATGAACTTTGAAGTTGGAGAGTAAAAAAATAGATATGAAGTTAATACGATCATAAATTTTGAGTAGTTATTAAATTAGAAAGAGGAGACAAAATTGAAGTAGCTTAATTGGGGAAAGTAATTATTATTAAAAAATTTGAGCAGTTATTAAACTAAATAGGACAAAATTGCAGTGTCTCCTTTGAGAATCGAACATTGGTTTATGGAAAAACAATTCAACAACTAATCCGCTAGACTACTAGCACTTTCAGTGTCAATAATTTGCACGCTAATAAATTTATTAAAAACCTTTAAATTATTCGTTTTTTCCAAATTCTCGACACATGTATATACGATCTTCAAAATTCTCGGGGGGGCCGGGGGCCCCCCGAGCACCAAGGTAGATCCGCCCCTGTTGAGAATCATAAGAAAGAGCACTTCTACTATGCTATATATATAGCATTGGTGCTTTAATGTACCACTCAAAGTTATACCATAACATTAAATGTATAAGTTTAGGTTGTACCACAAAGCAATTTGTACTATTATGTTATGGTACAACTTTACAACTTGAAGTTGTACCATCCCATAAGGTACAAGTTCAAGTTGTACCATAAAAGAATTTGTACAAAAAGTATAGGTACAATCTGAAGTTGTACCATAACGTTAAATGTACAATTTTAAGTTGTACCATAAAGGTAAAAACCTATAGCACCAATACTATATAGCATTGTAAAATTTCTCTCATAAGGAATTGCACACACTATCGTATTAAGAACTAATTCTGATACCATGTCATAAACTAACGGTAACAATCTTTTTCTGATGAAATATATGCATGCAGTTGAGGAGTGAGTACAGCCTGTGCCGGATCTACGTGGTGTCGGGAACCTTTGGAGCGTTTGACAGGCGGCCGCTGGAAGATGTGACGATGATGGGAGAAGCACAGCCACAACCACAGCAACAACAGGTGCCTTCTGCAATTGCAGAGATGGAGATGGATGTTGATGCTGATGATCATGACCTAGAGCTGCCATTCTTTGACTGGCCGGAAGAGTTCGACTGGCCATGATCGGCGGTGATCATAACTAATAAGGGTTCCGGCGTGCATGCGGCCTACTGCATGCATGCATGCCCGGCCGTTGTTTGTAGTGTTGTATCGATACATACATAGATGTATTCATCTTGACATGGTGTATACTTGAAAAATACCATGGCAATAGATAAAATTGTCTTGGCTGCATACCCTTTTTCATAACTAGGAAATTCTTTGTCCCTTTCAATAATATTACAATTACAATATGTGCGCATGCATGTGGCTTCTGCACCCTATCTAGAAACATGTTCCTTTCTGCACGGCTTCATGTTTCCGATGTTGTTGTTGTTTTCTTCCTGATCTATGGCTAACATCCATTCTTCTCAATTCTTCTCAGGATGAATTTTAGAATGTTATATAGCATTGGTGTTTTAGGTTTTTGTCTTTATGGTACAATTTGAAATTGTACTTTTAACGTTATGGTACAACTTCATATTGTACCTATACTTTTTATACAAATTCTTGTATGGTACAATTTGAACTTGTACTTTTATATGATGGTACAACTTCAAGTTGTAAAGTTGTACAATAACATAATGGTACCAATTCCTTTATAGTACAACCTAAACTTATACATTTAATGTTGAGTGAATTAGCACATAAATACCGGTATAGATCAATAAAAATATTCTATAGATTGGATAACTAGTTGATCGAGTTGTTCCAATTGGCAAATGGCCAGCTCAAATTGTAGGCCGGTTGAACACTACTTAGTTGGGAATATCAATCTTAATCATTCAAGATAATTATAAGTTTTCTATGTGTTAGTAGTAATATTTAGACTTGGATTAATAATGTTTCAAGTTAATTGATTACCAATTTTGTTGAGTATTTAGGTTGAAGGCTTCGCTTAGCTACAGCCTACAGGCAAAGGCAGTTGGGTTTCGGTCAACTTCGATTACGTGTAGGTTCAGTCTGAGCGAGTTTAATCACGTTCGATCAAGCAAGTTGGGTGTATCTCACACTCGAGTTGTTGGAAGAAGGTTATGTTGGATCTTATACCACACTCTCACACGCCCTCTCAAACGAAAGCCAATTCATGAGCTTGAAGTTTGCACAGACCCACCATACCTTGTGCTTTAATCAACTATTAATATTGGGGGTCGTGGAGATTCGAACACACGATCACTTGGTCAAACAGGCTCTGATATCATGTCATAAACAAGTGTCTCATTAACTCGAGTTATTGGGAGAAAGTTATATTGGATCTTATACCACACTCTTACATCTATAAGACTATAACCAATCTATAACCAATTAGACTGCAAAAGATTTTTTACCACGATAATATATATGTTGAATTTGACACCCAATGAAATGAGAGATATCAAAAGAATCATAAGATGAGATATATATCTAATCGCATGGCTTCTTTTATTACGAGCAAAACAAACAACAATGTACAGTAGCTTTTGCTTTCAGCAATTCTTACCACTTCAAGAATTCAAGAGATTTAATTACATGAAAGTAGTAGTGTAAAAAGGAACGATGAGCACGTTTCAATCTTTGTTGAAAATGTGCAGATTCAGCATTTCAGGCCACTATATGCTGCATTTTTGAAATGTTCAAAAGACTAATTGTCTGTTAGTGCCAAATTCACCAGCTGTGACAATTACCAACAAGTCAATCAAAATCTGATCTCTCCAATCCATTCCATTCCATTCCCCCTTACTTAAATATTCATTTTCTCTTAATCCATGTTGGTTTTACCCTCTAAATTACATGGGAATACAACAAAAATCCATATTCAAGATGCATGATATAACTGTAAATGTGAGAGTGGTTAACATACATACATGGATATTTTTTAATAACTCGAGTTATTAAAAATAACTGATTCATAACATGATAACAAAGCTGGTTTGTCATTGAGAACAAGTGTTTAAGTACTCACGATCACTAATATTAACGATTTTCTTAAAGCACATGGTATGAGGAGCATGTGCAAACTTCAAGTCCATAAATTGGCTTTCATTTGAAGGGACGTGTAAGCAAGTGGTTAAGATACGTACATATATAGGCTTCTCCATATAGGGACCAACGACTCCATGACCAATACAGTAAAAAAAACGCAATTCTACGTAAAAACGTTTTGATGACCTAAAAGTGTAAGGTTTTAAACTTTAAAACACAATTTTGACGATATTGTTGATGGCAAAACCTACAATCACCCAGCAGCCATGTCCATTTCCAAAACTTGACCAACCCACCACCATAGTTAGTTTTTAACCTACACTTTCTTTGACACATGCAGTAGCCAGCTTGTTTCCACGGGCATGCAGCTGCTGCTTCTGCTCCCTAATTCTAATCCACGATATCGTTTTGGCTCTGAACTAATGAGTGGTAATGGTGGAAAAGTTTCGTTTCTTTCATGATGATGATGATGGATTTGGAAAGCAGTGATCTTCTTCTTTCAGTCCAGAGCTAACTAATACTTTTATCATAGGACCACATCTCCACGATCACCGTCTCGGTGGGAAGTTACCGGCCAGTTGATCAACATCACCACGAGCGCGAAGAGGAACACCCACAATGTTCATACTTCATGAACTCAAGAACATTATACATTCATTGACATTTTCTTGCATTGCCATTACTCCATATTCTTCCTTTTATTCATTTCTAGTCATAGTCCATTGCCATTACTTTATACAGCAATGGAAATGCGAAATGTCCTGAAATCCCCCACCACCGCTTTAAATAAGCAATTAAAACCTTTGCAGTCATTTTCCTGACCTATCTTTTCTAATGTTTAGGAACAGAGCAGCAAACAGAATGATAATGATATGACTTTTAGATTAGATTAGTTTAGATTAGATTTTAACTTTTAAGCAATAGCCCTTCTGTCCTAAATTCCATTCTGGTTTGCGCACAGAACAAACTTAGCACCTTCACTACGAGAAAATATGGCTTTGGAGATAATTAATAATTAGAGACAATTATTGTATATCTCTCTGTATCTAATCTATAGCCGCAAATGCATTATTTGTCTCTATACCTCATATTATTGGTTTCTGCTTCATAATATTAATTTTAACTTATATAAAATGAATTTAAAATAATAGTTCTAGAAGCAAATACAAATGTTTCAAATGGTTATGTTATACGGAGGCAAATATAAATATTTTTGGAAACAAATGCTAATGCTACCAATAGCTATTTTATATAGAGACAAATATATCTCTTTTGGAGACAAATATGAATGCTCCCATTAATTTTGAAAGATAAAATTTCAAAAGCTACTCCAATCACGTTTTGGAAACAAATATAAATGCTCTTGTAGCAATTAAGAATGCCAGTTTCGCTATGGGTGCCTCCGACACCCCTGCCTTTCGTCGTCGGATTCCTCTTCTTGTCTTAGCAGTCGACTATGTCTAAAGAGAGGAAGAACAGCGGCGCGGAGATGATTAGCTTAGTAAACGTAGTAGAAGCAATTTATTATTTATGTATTGGTTGTATTTATCTTTTTTATGGGCAATGTATTCATCTATTCTAAAAATAAGTGTAATACAAAGCTATTAATAAAATTTGAGTTGTCATTTTGTCCTTATAAAACTGAATGGTGTGGGTGCTCTTCATTTCTCACGAAACAAAATTGTCACATCAAAAATAAAATAAAATTGAATCAGAATGATGAAAGTTGAATTAGAAGGAAAATTATTTGCTTCTAAAACAAATATTCATCTTTAGTAAGGTATTCTAGAAACAAATATAAGTGTCTCCAAAGTCCAAATCTAGTAATAGGAACAAAAACATTTCTCGCTAAAACCAAATAAAAAGATAAAAAGATAGTGTTTTTAAAGTGGAATTACAATAAAAAATATTTGACTCACATTCCTCAATTAGAAACAAATGTTATTTACATCTATATTTGCTTCTAAAGAGAATTAGAGACAGAAGCGTCCGATGCAAATAAACTATTTGCTTCAAATGATATATACAGAAACAAATAAATAGCTTTTAGACGCAGATAACCTCTGCCTCTATAACCATGTTTTCTTGTAGTGCTTGGCCGTTGCCCAAATATGGCAATCTGAGAAAAACACTGTTCTCAAACCGATTCTACATTCATTCCACAAACATCTAATAATGTAAGAGACTGGTATAAGATCCATAATAACCTTCTCCCAACAATTCGAGTTATGGAGACCAAATGGTTCATAACAAATAATGATTCCCCGGTCATCTGGATCAGGACAAAGTTGGCCTACGCATAGCTGAGATTCAATCTAAAAACGAAATCGAAGTTTCTGCTTAAAAACACAATTTCCAGTCGCGGACGAAGAGAATGATACAATCTCTACGATCAGAGAGCAACTTTGTATCAGATCATCTAGCTAGTCTATGAGGGTAATTATCTAACCTAGCCCTAGGACATTGGATGTCGTATGACATCAATGTGATGGGTTATGGCGCTAAGTATTCAAAGGAAAGAAGATTTTTTAAAAAAAGGCAAAATTCATCTCTATAGCCAAAACTTTTACGCTTGTGACAATAATAGCCACTTTTGACGAAATACCAAATATAGCCAGAATTTTGAAAGTTTCATGACAAATATAGCCATTTCCGTTACATATTTTAACGGCATCAGTGACACCGTTAGTCAACTTAACGAAATGCTTACATGGCTGCCAACTCACCAGACACATCATCGACAACTCAACAACAATTGCCACATGGATGCAATGTCATATTTTAATTTAAAATTAAATAAAAAATCATAATTATTGTTCTCATCCTCTCTCCTCTTCCACCACTCGATGTTGCCGCCGTCCTTTCTCCTCTCACAACATCGTCGTCGTCTTCTGCAACGGGTCGTCGACAATGAGGAACCAAAGATCGATTTAGCGGACGAAATCAGGGGAACGATCACGAATGGCACCACCGCCGTCGAGCAAATAGCGGTGAGCGATTGGAAGCCTTCTATTGTTCTGGGCAGCGCCGTGTCATGCTCGGGGTCGATATCGGATACACCAACAAAGATATACCTCTCCAACGAAAGAGGTGGATGCGTCGAGGGAGCTCGAATCGCCGATTCTGGAGGGAGAGAGCGCGCGACGGAAAATGGCAGCCAGATCCATCCCTTCTTCTCCTTTTTCTTTTCTCAGGCGGCCAGAGATGAGAGAGCGCGCGACGCAGGAGTTACGGAGAGAGAGATGAGAGAGATGGTGAAGATGGCGCAACGGCAGATTCGATGATTGCATAGTGGCGTCGAGGAAGCGGAAGGGAAACAAACAGCGGTCTGATGGCAGCATTGCGAGCTTGAAATGGGGAGATCTGGGCACAAAATCGAGCCAAAATCTGGGCACAAAATCGAGGCAAATTGAGGAAGCAGACAGCGGCGGAATTGGGGAATTAGGGATTTGATTCTCCAGTTCCGTTACAGGGGACGCATCATCGGAAACCACCACCACATATGCACTTCTGAATAATGAAATCTCTTCTGGGACAAGGAGAGGTTAACCGGGGACGGAGCCGGAATTCCTTTCCCCCTTTCATTTGCTTTGTTAATTTTAGAGAAACATAAACCCAGAAGTCGATGGAGAAGATAGGATTTTTTTTAACTTTTCCTTGACCCCCTTTCATTATTTATATATTTCTTTTTGTTTTTTAATTAAATCCCCGTGGAAAGTTAATTGACTAAGTGTTGCCACCTCAACCGTTATCGTTTGTCCAGTCAGCATATAACATAACACCGTTAAAGAATTGGACGGAAGTGGCTATTTTTGGTATTTCGCCAAAAGTGGCTATGTTTGGCCAAACCGTCAAAGTTTTGGCTATACAGGTGTATTTTGCCTAAAAAAAAAAGGAGTCTAGGGCGAAATGGGTAGTTAGGAAATGAAAGGAGACGGACTGTTGACATTGATTTTCTTATCCGTTTCCACATATGGTCAAGCGACGACTTAAAAAAAGAGAAGTCAACTTTGAGATTCGCCAGGGACCAGTTGAAGCGCCAAATGCAAACATACAGATTACAGAACAGAGCAGTGGAGAAAGTAAATGCGAAGCTAGGGATTCAGAAGCACGGTTAAAATACCAACGGATTCGAATTCAGGCAAATGCTAAGTCGCTACTGAAAACTTACCTGGAAGAAATAAACTTTCCCGCCATTTTTTGCCGCCGCTGATTCAGTTCAGAGGCAGGGCTGGAGCGGAAGCCGGCCGGCGGCGGCATGGCGTTTCGTCGGTGTATCAACGTGGAGAAAAAGAGAAGCAGGAAAGAAATTGCCGGTTCAGTTGGACAGAAAGGATGTTTGTTTGGTTCGTAAATAAGTTCGCCATTAGTCCTTTTACTCTTTTAGACATCTTTTCACCTCCCGTTATCAACAATTTGGTTCTTTTTATTCCTTTCTGGTCTCTTCTCATGACTCAACTTTTGGATTTTTCTATTTTGGTCCCGAATTTTTTTTTTTAGTTCATCTTGTATATTATTTCTTAGGGTAAGCAAAGAGTTCATATAAACCACCTGCGACAACGGGAAACGAGAATCGAAGGTGACAAAAAAATGTATGAGTTATTGCCTATACGCCGGCTGATCGGAGTTTCGGCCTGCAACAATCTATTGCACCGTTTTTATTATGTTTGTAGTGCATCTTATCTAATGATATGTACTTCGATTTCTATATTAGATTGGTATTTTGAGTTGAATTTTCATCACTATTGCCTGCCGTTTGTAGATATGAAAATAGGCAAAAAAAAATTATCATTCATTATATTAGTATTACTCATTGCATGATCAAACAATTGAGAAACTGGGGAAGATGAAATAGAGTTATGAATAACTTTTCAAATAATCTTCGTTATTGTTCTAAATAGATTTTTATGTCCACTTCCCTTTATTGTTCTAAAAAAAATAACGAAGATTATTTGGGACATTTGTAAGGTCGGAGTAGTCTCGCAAATGTATGCGTTAGATTCCCTACTATACAAGTATCCAATCTAAACCAAAATAATATAAGATTTATTCTGAAAAATCTTTCAAAACCTTAGAATTATTGTAAAGTGTATAACCTTTTTTTTAGCAATAGATAATGGCATTACCAAATTAAAAATATCAAAGTCTTACAAACCAAGTCTACAACCCAAAACGAAACCAACAATCAAAGTCAAAACTCGCAACAACAGCAAGTAACAAAGAAAAACCAACTTGGGGTTTCATTCAAAGTCTACAATTGCACATTAATTAACTATTTATTAAACCAAACTAGACAGTGGTATAGTAGCAACGAGCTTTCTGAATTGCATGTGTTACCGAATCAAATCATCTCTTGAATATTTAACTTGTCGGCCATTCGACATCAATAGCAGCTGTAATTAAATTACCCATCAGATTGCCTGCTTAGAAGCTCATGATGATTGTTGATATGACTTGAATCGGATTATCAGCCGCTACGACTGGTAACCGGGGGTCTCGCTGACCGTTTCCTTTGCTAGATTGGATTAGGTTTAGACCCACATGGAGAAGTACTATAAATACTTCTCATACTCCTCTGTAATCTGTAATCTCCTCGATATAGTGAAACTGGCTCTCTCTCGCCCGTGGACTAGCTAACACACATCGTGTTAGTGAACCACGTAAATCGTGTGTCTGTGTTCTTTCGATTCTCGCTCTCGTATTCTTGCTTTATCGATTCCGGCAATTTCCCGATCCGTAGCAGCGCGTTTATAACAATGATGATTATCGTTTTGGCTCTCGGGATAATGTTGTTTATGCAGTTCCATGTTCAACATCCTCATGCTCCATTTTATTATATTTCCCAGCTTTCGGCGTTGAGTTTGACATGTTGATCGGGATTAAGAGATCTTGATCAAGTGTTTAACTAACTCAATTAAGCTTTAATTTAGACGACACTGCACGCTCACATGCACTGCCCACTTGAGGAAGTCAATTGATCATGGGTTAATTAATCAAATATTGGAACCATATTATTGACTCTAGATTCTCTATAGTTCTGGATAATGATGAACATATGAGTCATGGCAATTGTGATTATGGAACTGCATAAAAGAATGCAGTTATTGATTGGATTAAAGTAAACCCGCGAGATATGGTGAATTTTGTACATAATAACATACATATAGTATGAACTTTTCGCGATGATATATGCCACATATTTTGAATTTGGTATGATATTTTTATTAAATATCGACGAGAATATATATTTAAACATACAAATTGTGAAAGAGAAAGATCAAAGTAGAAAAGAAAAGAGGTAAAAAGAGTCAAACTCTTCGAGTCAAACTCTTCTCTCGTTGTCTCCATCTGAAAACCGCGCGAGATCGAGGTTTCTTACTTCGAGTCAAACTCTTCTCTCCAATCTTTCCCCCTTTTCTTTCAATCTCCTCTCCCCCCTATATACTCGCACCCCACAAAATCCAATTACCAAATCCACAATTTCCGCGTCACTAGATCTCCGCCTGCTGGGAAAGAACGAAATCAATCAAAAGCAAGATGACCCAAGATTATTCCATGATGAATTTTCCAAGTACTGCATCGATTTACCCATCGACCAGCGATGACCAATCGACCGATCTAGAACCCTTGTTCCCCTGCTCCTACCCGCCGCCGTTCTTCGTCGGCGACGAAGAAGATTGGCCGTCGCTCCCGCGGTGGACCTGGAGCGAGGACCGGCAGTTCGAGATCGCCCTCGTGATGTTCCCCGATGATACGCCGGACCGGTGGGAGAGGATCGCCGGCCAGATCCCGGGGAAGAGCGTCGCCCAAGTTTTCCAGCATTACGAGGATCTGGTACAGGACGTCACCCAGATCGACGCCGGGGGGTGCGATTGGCTGCTCGGCGGCGACGAGGACGACGGCGGTCAGGTGATGACGTGTCTTGGATCTGGGAAGGAGCAGAGGGAAACGGCGTCGGAGAGGAGGAGAGGATCCCCTTGGACGGAAGAAGAGCACAGGTCTTCTTAACTCTGCCTTTCTCTCTCTGCAGTCAATGAAAATTATTTGAGTGGCTAGAGGGTAGAAGTAGAAAAGATTGGGTAGTGAATGGGGTAAATTTTGTGCAGGCGTTTCCTGGAGGGATTGGAGAAGTACGGGAAGGGAGATTGGAGGAGCATATCGAGGAACGCCGTGATCTCCAGGACGCCGACGCAAGTGGCGAGCCACGCGCAGAAGTACTTCCTCCGTCTTCACTCCGTTAAGAACAAGAAACGGCCCAGCATTCACGATGTCAGGCCCGGTGATAATTGGGCCGATGTTCCCGGAATGGACGTGGAGGAAGCCCAATAACTGAATTCTGGACACGAACAGCAGAAGCCGGACGCCGCGGGTTGAGTCGTGGCGGCGACGAAGGTGAATGCAAAGTTATTGCAAACCATAGAAGTAAATGTGGCATTGCACTGCCCTTTTAATTTTTGTTTGATGAATTTGAGCTTTTTTTTTTAAATCTCGTAGGGGAGATGTTGACCTCGAAAGTACAAGATACGAGATTTGTAGTTCATATTAGGAGATGCTAAACTCATATTTGTCAAAGACTGGAATGTGAATGAATCACTATCAATGTTTATAAGCTCAATATTGTTACGAGCTTGTTGGAATCAAATATAAACGGTTTGGGTTGTGTTCGAGAGATTGAAAATGAGTCTTTATGTAAAGGCAAGGCAAGGAAATAGAATGGATCATATAGATATCTCATAATATGAAAGATTCTATGTTTTAACTTTTTAATGATAATTTTTTTTCATTCATATGTTATTTATCCAACTTATAGAGATTTCCAATATGATTAGAGTCGAGAAGTTAGAAATGTGTAGTGTAATCAATAATAAAAAGCTTCATGGTAATTAGGGGCAGGGGCAGGGGCGGAGATAGCATGTTGTTAGGGTGTTCCATGACACACCATTGAATTGGAACTAGAACATAAAAAAAAAAAAAAAGAGTATTAGTATATACTATAGCTAGGATTTGAACATGGAACACCCTTATTATTAGCTTTGGCATCTTCCATTAAACCACAATTACTTACATGATACACCAATACGTCTTTATTGCATATATATAATTAATTTACCGTTTACAATAAGTAAATTAGATTAAAAAGAATTCATAATTGTCCCTATTCAAGCAGTAATCGAAACTTTAGTAAGATGGTTTCTATAAAGCGGCATATGAGATTTCCATCTGTGTAGTTTATTGTGAAGTTGGCATTGCTGCTACCATCCGCTACTGCAAGTGTTAAAAGAGTATTTTCGGTAATAAACTACATGAAGAACACTTTTCGGAGTCGAATGAGTGATTATATCATGAATGATTTTGTGGTAGGATACATTGAGAGTAACATTCTTGATAGTCTGGATGACGAATGTATTTTACAGACTTTTCAAAATATGATAACCCCGTCATGGGTCACTATAAAAAATTTATAATCATTTTAATTTTTCAAGTTGACACCCCCTTATCCAAAATCCTGGCTACGCCACTAATTAAGGGTGAGCAAGAATCTTGTCTACACTAAACTGTCGAATCAAACTCAAACTAGATAAATAATCTATCGACAAATTTGATCCAGTTGTGATCATCAATTTCTTTTGATTTTGATTCAATCCGACCGAATCATGCTGCATCATGGTTATGAACTTATGATGGTCATAATTTCGGTTAACTCGTCGAGTACCAAATAAAATACAATTTCCCTAAAAAAAAAAAAAGTTGGTCTCTGCCCAAAACTGATAAGAACATAGCCGAGGGTGGACTAGCCGGTGACATCGCTTCGCTGGCCTGCTCTGTTCCCTTAGCCCCTTCCCGCTGGCCGTAAGCTTTTTGTTGGCCTGCCGCTACTCCATTATTTGTAAGCTTAAATTCCTAATCCCGGTTCCAATTCCAACAAAGAAAACTAACAACTCCCCAATTCCCAATCGGGAACTGGAATCCGTGCCAGCGCCTATGAATTAGTTCAAACCGAAGACGCACGAAGGAAGAGGAGAAGAGAGAGAGAGGGGGTACGAATGGCGATTCTCTACGCGGTGGTTGCTAGGGGGACGGTGGTGCTGGCGGAGTTCAGCGCCGTCACGGGGAACACGGGCGCGGTGGCGCGGCGTATCATGGAGAAGCTGCCAGCCGACGGGGATACCAGGATGTGCTTCTCGCAGGATCGTTTCATATTCCACATACTCAGATCCGACGGCCTTAGCTTTCTCTGTATGGCCAACGATGCCTTCGGCAGTACGTATACTGACACTCGATTCCCTTCTTTCTGCTGCTGGTCTCATTTGTTTTGTTTCTCTGAATCGAATTGTTCCTATGGCCTGGGCTGAACTAGGCGAGGAGGGGAAAAAACTGGGTGCTTGTTTCGAATTTAGCTTTCTATTTTTTGAGGCTTTCTGCTGGATCAGTTACTAGAAGGGTGGGAAATTCAACTCCCTGGTGAGCTTGTGGTGTGCTAGCAACTGATTCAGTGATGTCTTAATGGCAGTTCATCGAAGCTAAAGTTGATAACTTTGTATGCTTCTGGGTAAACAAAACTGAGGTTGATTACTTTGATGGACTCTAGGAGCTGTACTGTTAGGGAACTACCATTGTGATGGCTCTGAAGCATGGGAGATTCGGGGATTTAGGTTCTAAGGTGTGAAATGGTTCCCTACATCTCATCGTTTTGGCTTACCAGGATGAGAAAAAAGATGTTGCTTTTTCTGAAACTTTGCTGCCTTGCTTCAGAATGGTAGCAGAGAATAGTAGACCTGTGCTAGGTTTGACTCTAGATACTACTTCCATCGGTCGTTGAATATCCTTTCTGCCCACGCTCGGGTTCCAGTGATATTTGCTGGAATCCTCATATGTTGTTTCTGAATCCACCTTGTGCGTTTGTGGTTCTCTTGATTTCTGCTATAGTCAAGTAGTCTTGAAAGTTCACATGGGGGACAAAACGTTTAAGACAATTCATTGCTTGACTGTACGAACTGATATAGAACCTCTTGTTCGAAGCAATATCCTAGAGTTACTGGTCATATTTTCCTGACTTCCTTAAGAAGGTTTTAGATCAGTCCTCCATCTCTTGTTTTAGTTGGTTAAACAGAATCTTCGTGCAGATTGCAGGTCTTCCAAAATCACTTGCTTTAGAACTAGTTCAGACTTTCATTATCTTTAGGTTCCAAGTTTTCCAATATTCTAAGAAGAGTGAACTGTTTAGACAAACAGGAAGTCTGTTGTTTCAGTGTGTGATATGTAGTTTTGACAGTCTCTAGTAATCTATTCTAAAAGTAAAAGGGAACCTGATGCTGCAGTCTGATAAATGTATGAATGTTTTGGAGCCATGTTACACCCGGGAACTGAAGCTAAACCAAATGTGATTTACCCCATAGCTGTTCTGATCTATGTGGACTGTGATGCTAACCACTCTTTTTATAGTATTTGTAGGAACCTTGTATCTAACATAGACAATTTTCATACATGCAATGATGAAACTTGGTATGGGCACTCATGTCTTCTGTTTTGATTGAATATGGACACCTGATTTCCCATAACTAAGGGTAGACAACACTGTATCCTCTTAGGCTCATTTCCTTTAATAATGGGTGTGATTGCCCAGTGGATTAACTTAGAAGATGAGTTTCCGTAAAATAATACTGTTTATCTTTGATTTCCTTACTTAAGAAGTGAAATCCAATATCAGGTTTCTCCGGAAGTTTCAATGTCAAAATTCCCACTCAATTTAATTAGATGATGTGCTTTCTGTATGACCAGGGAGAATCCCATTTTCATATTTGGAAGACATTCACATGAGGTTCATGAAGAACTATGGCAGGGTAGCTCCGTATGCACCTGCCTATGCAATGAATGATGAGTTCTCAAGGGTGTTGCATCAGCAAATGGAATTTTTCTCTAGTAACCCAAGTGCTGATACTCTGAATCGTGTCAGAGGTGAAGTGAGTGAGGTAATTATTTCCCGTTTGTTACATTTTCCTCGAAGCATGTTCCTTATACACTGCTGGAAACTCTGTCTCTGTCTTGGTACTCTTGTTTGGCTTTGCCCACCTTGCCTACTTTCATTAACGTAACACTTGTAAAGCTAGAGATTCAACTATTTAAGTATATTTTTGTATTATGACTTATCACATGAAAGGCTGAGTATACTCTTATGATTATCATTTTCTTACATGATCAGTTGTTTCTGCTTGAATCTTCTCTCTTTTGTGCATGCCATCATGGAAAGCATACAGTTAGTTTTAGTACATATCAGATGCAAATTGATGCTAGCCAGATTTTGCTTAATGCTGTACATTTTTCTGTACTGTCCATGGATTAATTTGGAGTCGCTCTCTGCAGCTCCGAACAGTTATGGTTGATAACATTGAGAAAATACTGGAGAGAGGTGACCGGATTGAGCTTCTGGTTGATAAAACCGCGACAATGCAAGATGGTGCATTCCACTTTAGGAAACAGTCTAAACGCCTTCGCAGAGCTCTATGGATGAAAAACGCCAAACTTTTGTACGTCTCAGAAACTTTTCCTTTCATTTATAATACCGAAAGATCATAGTGTAACCTGCTAACTCTTTTGGCTTTGCAGGGCGCTGTTAACGGTCTTGATAGTCCTGTTGCTGTACTTCCTTATTGCTGCTTTTTGTGGAGGCATCACTTTACCTTCATGCAGATCTTGAGCAGAGGTATGCCTGGTCCTTGGATTTCTTGCCGTGGGCATCTTCAAGGCTCTCTTTTTGTATCAACTCGAGCTAAAACGAATCTGGTGAAAAACGATCGACAACATAAAGAAGTTGAAGGCAGTGAGGAAACTAAGCAGTGCCTGTAATGTTGTAATAACATATATATAGCTCGATCGCTCACTATTTGTCTTCCTATCTTGTAAATTCCTGGTCTTCTGGTCTGGTAGCAGCTGCTGAATTGTTCTGAGTCAGCTGTAGCTTCTTTTTCTTCCTTACCCTCCTTTTTTCTCCACAAGGAACTTCTCCCGAAGTGAATAGCCAATAAAGTTATGCTGCATTAACACAGGTTGACACGATATGATCATACTGTCTTGTGATTTCAGTTGTTGGATGCATGAGATGATTGTATTGTAAATAACACATACATCTGCATCCGATGGGCGAGTTTGCAGATGGCATGATCCAAGTGGTGTTAGTTCGAGCTGGAGCCTAGCCGTATCAGCAAAGTATCAGATTCCCAGCAACAAAAAAAGTCGAGAAACAAGGTTGCCACTTTGGGACAATCCCCTGAAGTTAGAATGCTCGTTAATTGGCTGTGGCACGCGATCTGCCGGCCAATAACTAAACATAAGAACGACAAGTCGTCGAATTCAAAGGACAAACGAAAGCGGGACACGCATCCACCACTTTGCCTAAAAAGTACTCGTGAGCAATTATATGCACTGCTCTCAGTTCCATTTACACGATCTTTGGCCGGCTTTAGCAATGGTGGTGGGTTTAGGTTGTCGGCTTTCGGCAATGGAGGTCTCTGCCTAAAGGCCAAAATCTCATTTCTTGGACGGCCACGACGAAATGCTAACCTATCAAATCAATGATGTTGGTGTTTGGCCAGAAAAGGGACTGTTTTGTTATACTTGGTTTGCTGGAGCACTGAACTCATGATGGAAGTTTGGTTTTTCAAGTGATCTTATTGATTGTAGGGCTAAGGTTTTACTAGGGTTGAAGGGTGGTTACAGTATAGTCTCATGTAATGTTTACAAGCGATGCGTTTGTGTTTGTGTTTGTCTTCTAAACTTTCAAGTCGTTTTACTATGCAACTTTTGTTTAATGTACCCTATCATCCAAAATATTTGTCGAGTTTTCGTTGCTTATGGTTTCACAATGGTTCATACTGAGAGAGAGGAGATGAACAAGTTATTCTTCTTTATTCTTACCCTTGAACTAGATGACATGAAAAGAACGCAAGGAGGTCGTCACTTCGAGAGCCTCCAAATCACAAATCTCCATAGAAGGGAAATGCCAAAAAAAAATCTTGGATCTTGCTTGGGTATGGTTAGTTGGTCAAAGCTCAAAATCAAATAATGACTTCATGGTTGACGTAATCCGAGTCCGAGAAGGTAGCGGAAGATATTGAAAATAAATATTTATGTTTTTAGAAGATAGATGAACATCCAAAACAAATTTCGAAAATAAGCTCATCGCAAACAAGGCATGTGTCGATGATAGAAGATTTCATCCATGCTTATAGATACATGAAAGGTAAAAACTTTCGATCGATATTGGTAGTATTAATGGAGCTCAACCGCCGTATATAAAACAAAAAATTTAGGGGACTAACTGAGGGAGGTACCATGCATGTTTCCTCCCTCTCCCTCTTTGCCATGAACAATGGGAAAGTGTAACCAACCCAGCTCAGTTCTTCTTCCTCTATATGGAAGTCCCATCATTTGTAATTTCTAAACGCTATATAAAGATTCCTTTCATCACTAAGCTAACAACATAATCAACAGCAATATTATAGTAATTCATTCACTATACATTTTCCCCCTTTGGTTTTCCCAATTTCAAAATGACAAATTCTGGTAGTGACAAATACAGAGCCAGAGCATCATTTGCCGTCACTCCCCAACGATCCCTTCCTCCATTTCCCCATCCTTATTATAATCAAAACCTCCCACCTTCTTCTTCTTCCTCTTCCCCTTTTAATGGATCAACCATCTTCATACTCATAAACCTTTCCCCTCTTGTGACATCCGCCATAAAAAAAATGGCAACTCCCCTGCCTCTCTTCTCCCAACTTCCAACATCCAAACCTCCCCAACAAAATTTCACCCAATTTCCGGCCACCGCTCCACAACCGCCGTCTCCTCTATTCTCTTCTCACAAACCCGCCGCGAAAACCCACCGCACCAGAATCCAGAGCAAGTTCGGATCCTTCCTCGACCTGAAACCAGAATCCGTACCCGAACCCATAAATTTCCCGGACCTCCCCTGGCACGACCCGACACCCTCGCCGCGATCCTCGCAATTCGACGTCATCATCATCGGCGCCGGCCCCGCCGGCCTCCGCCTCGCCGAGCAGGTGTCCCTCCGCGGCGTCCGGGTCTGCTCCGTCGACCCGTCCCCGCTCGCCTCCTGGCCCAACAACTACGGCTCGTGGGTCGACGAGTTCGAGCCCATGGGCCTCACCGACTGCCTGGACCACACCTGGCCCATGTCCACCGTCCACATCGACGCCACCCGAACCAAGTACCTCGACCGGGCCTACTGCCGCGTCAACCGGACCAAGCTCAAGACCAAGCTCCTCACCAACTGCGCCTCCAACGGCGTCGTTTTCAAGTCCGCCAAGGTCTGGGAAATCCACCACCGCGAGTTCGACTCCACCGTCGCCTGCGACGACGGGACCGAACTCAAGGCGGGCCTAATCGTCGACGCGACCGGATTCGGCACCCCGTTCATCGAATACGACGACGTTTACAAGACAAAGCCCAGGAACGAAGGGTTCCAGATCGCGCACGGGATCTTGGCCGAGGTGGAAGGCGGGCATCCGTTCGATCTGGACAAGATGCTGCTGATGGATTGGAGGGATTCACACATGGGGAACGAGCCGTACCTTCGATCGGGGAATTCGGAGTTCCCGACGTTTCTCTACGCGATGCCGTTTGGGCCCGATTTGGTGTTCTTGGAGGAGACGTCGCTGGTCAGCCGGCCGACGCTGCCGTACAAGGACGTGAAGCTGAGGATGGCGGCGAGGCTGAGGCATATGGGGATTAAGGTGAAGCGGGTGATCGAAGAGGAGAAGTGCTTGATTCCGATGGGCGGGCCGTTGCCGCGGATTCCGCAGAGCGTGATGGCGTTTGGTGGGAATTCAGGGGCGGTTCATCCTTCTACAGGGTATATACTTACTCACTCCAACTTGGTTTACCGGCCCAAAATTTGTTTAAAATTATTTTTCGCGACTTTAACCACCAAACCAACCGTAACCGTATAAATAGAACTATTGTATAGTCGGGTCGGTTATCGATTAATCACCAATCGATAATGTGTTTAGTAATTACCCGTCAACTAAAAAATTATTACTATTAGTTGACTTGTCAAGGCTTAATGATTAACCGTTAGTTGTTAGTGTGATTAGCGGTTAGTTTGGTCATTAACCGTCTACCCACCAACTATCACTCTAGTTAAGTCGAAATCTTAAGGTTGTTTTTATGATGAAATGATATATTTGACGGTTAGTTTCTCTGTATAATAACTAATAAGAGTCTTTTGAAATTTTTGCTAATTGAACTTGAATAATTTAATTTGTCGAATAACCTATTGTCGAGATGAGATGTAACAAACAACTTAACAATAATGTTTAGTTTTGGAATATGCTAAATGCCAAAATCAATGTTAGTACGAGGGCGAGGCGATGGCTTTCGAGATTCGTCGACGTGAGCCAATGTTGCCTAAGAAATTCAAGCGGCTGCTTCAACCAAGTCGAGTACGCCAAGTGGTAGAGGCGTTTGAAAAAGGGATATCCATGGAAGATACAATTATTGACCCTGGATTGGTTCAACCAATGGGTACTCTCGGCGCAATTAAGGAAGGGCATGGCGAGGTCACTAGTGTGCAGAACCTTGATTTCAATGAATATGGGTCCAACCTGTCAGACCCTGGAGTGGGGAACAAGAAACGTCATATTGATGAGATGGAGGGGGCTATGGCGGAGATCCCTACCCCCAAGAAGCAGTTCGTGGAGGAAGTGATGGAACCTGAATCGGTGGAGGAAGCCAGCCGTGAATGGCCCCAGTCGGATAAATGAGGCTTCTCGCCTGGAATGTGAGGGGAATTGGGCCATCCCTCACATTCCAATCTGCTGTTGGTTTACTGCATTCCAATAAACCGGATCTTGTGTTCTTTTCGGAGACGCGATCGAGCCGGAGAGTAGTTTCCCGTCGTATGCGGGGTTTAGGTTTTACTTATTCTCGTTGTTTTTTTGTTGATGCGATTGATGCATCTGGTGGGTTAGTAGCGGCTTGGTCCCCTGGGGTTGACACCTCGGTGTTATTTCATTCCAATTTCTGTATTTGTGTTCAAGTTAATGAAATAAATGTTTCTTATGCGGTGGTGTTTGTCTACATTAGTTGCAATCTTGCAATTCGAGCCTCCCAGCTAATACAGCTCCGTGATATGTGCGCGAATATCCAGCTCCCTTTCGTTGTAATCGGGGACTTTAACACGACTCTTCATGAGAGTGAGAAGGATGGTGGTCTTCCTTGGAATGCCGCCCAAGCTATTAGTCTTCGTGACTTCATCCAGGATTTAGGGCTGCATGACCCTGGCTACCAGGGTGACCTTTTTACCTGGACGAATAAGCGGATGGGCCCTGCGTGCATTCGTGCGAGATTAGACAGGGCCTTGTGCTCTCAGTCTTGGATTGACCTCTTCCCGGATACTATTCTCAAACATTTTACGGATCAAGGATCAGATCATCGAGCTTTGATTCTGTCGGACAAGATCTATGCCAGAGCCAGTCGCCCCCTGTTCCGCTTTGACGCCCGCTGGGCGGATAATCCTGAGGTCAGGGCGATGGTCAATTATGTTTGGCAAGAGGAGGTGCAGGGTACTCCTATGTTTTGCCTCTGGGAGCGCCTTAAGAAGCTTCGCCACCTTCTCTATGACTGGAGTCGCGCTGGCACGACGAACTCGTTGCGTAATATCAAAACTCTTCAAACCGAGATTGATAGAATTAAATCAATTCTCCCAATTGATTGGGAAGAGGTCCAGCGTTTGGAGGTCGAATTGAGTAGACAATGGGATGCGGAGGAGATTTATTGGCAACAGAAATCCCGAGTGAGGTGGCTGAAGAGAGGAGATAAGAATACTTCGTATTTCCACACGGTCACTCGGGTTCGGCGGAAGAAGAACTTTGTGGCTGGGCTACGAAATGAGGAAGGGGATTGGGTCACGGATGAACGCGAGAAGGCGGCTCTGGCAGATACGTTCTATCAGACATTGTTTACCTCAGAAAACCAGGTCCTGAATATGGCTGATAGGGTGGCTGCTTTACCTATTAATCGTAGTGTTACCCCTGAAATGAATGATCTGTTGACTGCTGAAGTCCTCCCTGCT